TGGCTGGGCTGGGGAACAGCCCCAGCACCCCCGGCTGCTCCTTTCCTTCCCAGACAAAGCAACTCCTTCTCCTGCCTCAGTTTCCCAATTAAACAAGGGAGACCAACCCAACAGTGCCTCCCACACTGGGATATTGAAAGGAAAAGGTGTCACTACTCTGCTGTCAATGAACATCACTTCCGTTTGTCACTAGCTTGGAAAACAATTTTATTTTCTATCTCTTGTTAGAAACACCAAATGAAAGGAAAAACAAACAAACAAAAAACAAACAAAAAAAAACCCCACCAAAAGCAAAAACAAAACCCCCCAAAAACCCTGAAACATGGAGGAAAAAAAACCCTAGCCCACATTTTTCATTATATGGCATGAATTGTGTGTGTCACACAGATGGGTTATGTCTGTGTGCAGCAGAGAAGGTTGGAGCTGGCCTCTGGGAGAAGTTGTGAGATGTCTTCTTGAGCGCTGTTATGTTGCAAAATGGTGATGCAATTGCTGCTTTCATCTGGTGGCAGAGCTGCAGGCAGCATCTTCCCTCCATCCTTCCTCACCACTGGGGCTGAGATTTTCTTAGGAAATGGGAAATTTTGCAATGGGCTCTGTTACTAGAGAGGTGAGACACTGAAAAAAAAATATTAAAAGAAATAGAACTTAAATGACCCAAAAGGAAGAAAATTAGCTCCAGGGAGATGAAATTGAAATAAATCCTTTTATTTTGGGTTGAACTGTATGTTTTAAAAACCTGATCTCATGCTGACTTTGGGGACTTTGCAGGCAGCTCCAAAGCCCAGAGTTGGTCTTTCCCAATTATTAATAAGAGAAAAAAAACCAAGAAGGATTGCTTTTATAAAATAAAGAATAACTCATTTTCACTAAGTGTTTGGAGTATTTCTTGGTAAGAACATGCCAAATTGTCAGAAGCTCAATTTTTTGAAAGAATTTATCTGTGTTGAGACAACTGCCATTGGCAAAAGCTAATTCCACCTACTGATGGAATTTTGTGTCAAAGTAGGGGGAAAAAAAAGACAAGAAAGGGAGAAGGCACATCCCCAGCAACCTTATCAGCTTGGAACAGGACAGAACCACACTCAGGCTTCTGTGCCAATAAAAACTTAATTATTCATACAAGTTCTTATGGAGAACAGAGGAAGACCAAGCACTGGGTGACCAAGAACCTCCTCAGCAGCAGCCAGGGGAAGGTGGCTGGGAGGTGCAGTGGGCATTCCAGGAGCTCCCGTGAGCCAGAGGTGTTTGAGGTGCTGGAAAGGGGAATGGGGTGCACGGTTCAGTCAGTTTGGCTTCATCCCAGGACAGTGCAGCATCTTCTGCAGGATGTGAAAACCTGACTGACCTGATGCATTTCACAGGGTATTGGCCAGTCTTATGGTTTGAGGTCAGCTTTTGGCCCAAAGAAAAGGAGAAATCAATTTTAAAAAATGCCCCAATCAAGCCAATAATTCGCATTTTTCGTTTTTATTATTGGAAATATTTATATTACAGTAGCTTGGTATTTTAGAAGGCTATAAATGCATTTTTATATAATCAGCATTTTTAAAAGTCTATAAACATCCACTATGTTTGCCTAATGCCCTATAAAAACTTCCAAAGGAGCTGTTATTATCCAGCTTGTCACCTCACACAGGCTCCGAGGAGGAAATTTTTTTTTTCTTGTCTGCTGTTAATAAAATGAAGCAAACCATTAACAGCTTTGGAGCTGAAGGGAGAAGCAAAGGGGCTTGTAATCTTGGACTCCAAAGGAAACGTCTGCAGCTTTGCTCCTCACCTCTTTGAGATTCCCAACACGCAACAACAATTTTAAACAGACAAAATCAGTTTAGGTTACATAAATTCAAAAGCCCGAGCCTGGTGCTTTTAAAGTAACATCTTGCATTTTGTTTGGAGTGTTGCAATCTCTCACATATCACTTTGAACTGGCTCAGTTTTACAGGCTGCTGAGCAGCTTCCTCAGGTTTCTTCGTTTAGAGAAGTTTTAATGCAGAATTATTATGTGCACACATGAATATGTTATTAGGCATATGTGTATATATGTATGCAAATATATATATATATATATATAAAGCCTGTCTGATGGTGGTGGTTGCACATCCAGGCCCCATCTCTTCCAGCACTCCCTGCATCCCCAACTCCCAGCATTATCAGCCCATGGAACAAGCCCCAAACCAAGTCCTGATAAAAAGATGCCACGTACTTTGGAGAGAACACAGATATTTTAGTCCCATTAGGGGCTCAAGGGTGAGTGTGTTTTTTAAAGCAATTAGTGAAGAGAAGAAATCTGTGTGCAAAACCCAGGTCTGGGCTTTAAACCATCTCTTAATTCACATCTCGGAGATTTGCTGTTGGTTCATCTCCCTTTATAGTTTGCTCCTGTTCCCAACATATCTCGGTGTCTGGTGGATTCTCAACCCCGGGGAACCTGTCAGGGAGGTGATAACAGCTCACTCCATCCAAAGAAGGGCATGGCTGTGCCTGTAAGAGTGAGTGGTTCCTAAGAGCTCCCGTGTGGCGGGGCAGGGTCCTGCTGGGGCAGGGTCCTGCTGGGGCAGTGGCAGCCACACACCCCCGGCGCTTTGTGATTTCAAATGTGCCCCAAAACAGCACGAGGAGCTGTTGCTCCTGGCACTCGTGTTCTCAAAAGTGCTCCCCAGGGAGTACCAGGCAATGATCCCCTGTGCTGGCTGGGCTGCTATTTTGGGTAAAGGCCTTCCTGGGGTGGTCCTGAGGTGAGTCAGAGTGGAGAAGAGCTTCCATGGCTTCAGCTGTTGAAAGGGCACAGGCTGGGAAAGCCCTGACAGTCCTGACTGATGTTCAGGGAGGAGCAGCTTGGACATCCCTGCAACACTGGAAAAAGGGAGGAGAAAAACCCAACAGTGGTTTATGTCAGTGTGGAGAAATTCCCAGCTGTTCCATGGGAAAAGGAGCTGAGGGTGCAGAGGGGACAGTGGTGATCACAAGGACCATGTTGGGGCAGAGGAGTGGGGACGGGGGAGAGGCTCTCCTACAGTCTCTGTCCCAACTGCCAGCCCCATGAGGGGTGGCAGGTTTGGTTCCTTGGCTCAGACAGAGCTGCCTGAGGGCCACTCTATGCTGTGGTCACTGCAGAGATGGCTCTGGCACCTACAGGACACCAGACTTGGTGGTTTTGGTGCCACACACTTGTCCTGGGCTGTCGGAACACTGACGATGTGGAACTGCCTGTCCTTGGGAGTGGGGGGCAGCAGAGGGGATCCAGGCTCCCAGCAGAGCTCAGGCTGAGACACAGAAAAAGCCAAAGCAGCCCAGGAGAGAGAGCAGACACGTCACGGGTAGTGGCTATTTCTGGCATTGTCCTCGGAGCTGGGGACCTCCGGGAGCCCAGGGACACACCTCTGGGACCTTCTGGGAGCTCTTCCCACCTCGTGGCACTATGGGGTGGCTCCTGCAGGCATTTCCTATCCTTAGATGTCTTGCTATCAGCTCCCAACAAATCTAACAGCCTCAGACGAGTGTTGTCTGATGGTCTCACATGGATGTCCTAAGTGGAGGTGTCCTTTGGGGTCACGGTGCTGGGTCTCTGTGAGTCCCTGTCACACAGCACTCCACATCCATGGATTGCTGATAGGAGCAGAGGGTGTTGGGCACCTCACCAGGCTCATGCAAACTTCCCAACCCAGATCGACATCCAACCACCACCTCCCACACATCCATTGCCAGGAGCTGGTCCCTCCAGCCCTGATCCCCCAAGGCCCACCAACAGCTCTGGTCTGGCAGCAGCATGAGGCGCTCTGGGGGTCTGAGATGTCATGGGAGCCTCAGTGAGGTGTAGAGACCTGCAGAGAGCTTGGCAGGGAGGGACATGGGATTGGGGAGGTGGTCCAGAATGGAGGTCTGCTGCAAGCAAGCAGGACAGGTTGGCTGAGTGCAGGCATTGCCATGTTTGTCATCATTTATTTACTATCCCCAGGTGACCTCCCCAGGGCCCTGGACATCTTTGCTTTGAAGCTGGGTGTAACTCAAGTTTCTAGAGATGTTCACCTGCTTCTCTGGGCACAAGCCAAGGGCAGTACCTGCACTGCCAAAATCTCCCCTCTCTGCTGGATGAAACTTTGGAGGTTGGAAAGATCCTGTGGCCTCATAACCACTGTGCTGGTGGTCCACATTAACCACCCTGACAGGGGAGTTTCCCTGCCTGGCAATGAGGCTTCCAGTGCTCTCCATGTAGGGCAGAAAGTCCAACACCTTCCCAACCTTCAGCACCTTTGGAGACGCAGGAGGACAGACATGGCCAGACAATGATGTGCCCAGGACATTGTGGTGAAGGACTTGGCCCCAGCATGAGGTTTTTGAAACGCAGTTCTTCCTTCTGAAAGGTGAAAATCGAGATCTTTTGAGCTTCTTCCCCACCTTCTGACCTGGAGACCTTTCTGCCACGGAGGAAGAAATGCAAATAAAAGAAAGGAAAGGAGAAGAAAAGAACCAAAGCAGGAGACAGCCTGAGGTTTTCCAGCACGGAAAGGTCTCCGCTCTGTGTCTCTCAACGCCGGTGCTTACCAAACATAGCCCGGGCCCCGCGAAACCTCGGGCCGGCACAGAGTAGTAAGATGAGCTCCCTCTTTATTTGGCCTAGCTAAAAATAGCCGAGGGGAAAAAAAAGGCAGAGTCAGGACCCTGCAGGACCAGTAGTCAATGGGCTGCGAGGAGCGATTGAACTCCAAGCCCTGCTCGGCAGGCTCCAGCTGACGGGCTATTTTTTGCCGTGGTTGACTAAATATGGTCAGGGAGGGAAGAGCAGGAGCAGGGGCCGCTCGCCCGGGGGTGCGTGTTTGGGATGCTTCGCTGGGTATATAAGCACTGGAAAGGTGGACTCGCGTCCTGACCAGAGCTGCCCCCTCCCTCCGCCAGCCCCCCCAGCCGTGTGCATCCCCCCGCAGCCTGACCCCCAGCCCGGGCTGACCCCCGGGGGGGTGACAGGGAGGAGGAGGAGGAGGAGGGAAGGGAGTGGAGGGTGGGTGGGGGGTGCGCAGGCACTCGTGCCGGCGCAGCCTCTCGCATCAAGGTGTGCTGCAATCCGGGCGGGCACGGTGGCTGCTCCTTAACCCCCGGCTGGCCGCGGCGCTCCCCGCCCGCCCCGCGCAGCCCCCGCGGCTCCGCGCTGCCTCCGCGCCCCGCGGCACCGCGCTGCGATGCGCTGCAGCGCCGGGGATGCGGGCATGGAGTTGTGCCGGTGCCGGGCGGCGGGGGCGAGGTAAGGGTGGGTGGGAGGGGAGGGTTTGCCTGGTGGTTTTTTTATTTATTTAATTTTTTTTTTTTTTTTTCTCTCCAAGTGAGGACTAATCCCATCCCTGGGCCTGCTCTCTGTTCCCTTCCTGCATTAGAGATTGGCTATAAGGAGAAGGCTGACGGCTGCAGCATGAAGCGCATTATTACCTTGTGATTCCATGACCCTCCTCTATGCATCCCTAACTCTCGAAAGCTGATTCAGCTTTCAGCTAGTGCTCTGGTGAGTCCTCTGCTGCAACAGAAGCTCCTAACTGGTATGTCTTCTTTTTTTTTCCCCCCCCTCTCTTCTGCTCCCTGTCTTGCCTTTAACCGCTACCAGCTCAGCTTGGTTTAAACACTTTTCCTGGCCAATGCAGGACTTACCTGCCAATCCAACTTACCCGGGGACTTAAATGTGGGCTTCTGCATACACAAATGTATATGTGTGTGTGTGTGTCTGTGTGGGGATTTGCTGGATGTATGTTTAATCTGTGGATCGCTTAGGAAACCTCACCCCCCTCTTTTTTTTGTTCTGCTGTGGCATACTCCGCATTCAAAAAAAAAAAAAAATAAAAAAAAGGAAAACAAAAAACCCACAAAAACTAACAAACTGCAGAGCAAGCAGTGCACTAGAATAATCTGAACTGAAATGTTAGAACTTTGACATGCAACCGTTCTGCAAGGTTAAACCGGCCTTTAAATACCTAATTCAGACACAGGCTGGCTAATGACACCTGGGGGGATTGGGGCTTTATTTATTTATTTGCAACAAACTAGTGCTATAAGCTGATATCAGGCAGAGCAAAAGGGTGAGAGGTGGTTAAACTTAGCCTAACTTGCAATGATCTCAATGCTGTAGTGATTAACTGTTAAAATGCCGAGAAATGAGTATTAATTACAGGCGCATGGTTTGTGAACCATCAGAAAGGGAATATGAGGAGGAGGAGAAGTTAGGTTTCCCTGCAAGGGTTTGGAATTCAGGTTACATGAAGTGTAGCATCAATTGACTGTTATTGCTTCTGCAACTCAGAGTTGACTGTGGTCATTATATTTTATATGCCAGTGGTGGTACCTATCACATGAATATATAGACACCAGTTTGGTGAGGTGGATACTGTGGTGCACACACACACTCATGCAGATTTAGGTACGTTTTATAGCATGCATATGGATGTTTTATATGCATCTTTATGCATAGGTATATAAATGCTCTATACAAGCAGGTGTAATGTATCACCCAGACACAGCCCATCTCCAGGCTGTGTGGGGAGTGTGGATACAGGTAGATGTGTGCCTGTGCCGGAGGGAGTGTGCACTGTGTAATTGTATAGGCAGAAATCCATGATTTGTGCTGTCAGTTTAATTGCTGGGTTCCTCTCGAGCAGATGGTTGTGTCTGTGGCTCCCAAGGTCTGAGCTCAGTCTCTCTGCCATGGGCTGTGCTGGGACGAGCATCTGCCTCCACCTCAGCCCCACTGGTGCGTCCCTTTTCCAGTGCCCAGCCCTACACAGGGGCTGGATACAAAGTCCCCAAAGGTTTCTGCTGCACAGCTTCAGTTTGACTTTGACACTTGGACCTGAGCAGCACCTTGAGCTTTGGGCAGAGCAGGGAGATATTATACAGCATGTTGCTTTCCATCCCTCTCACCCTGATCCTTCCTCTTTCACCTTCAGGCGGTACCTCAGGCTCTTCCCTGCCCTTTTATTTGCCCCTTGGCCTCTGCATGATCCAGGTCTCCATCCATTTTTCTCTCCAGAACAGCCACAGTTTTATTGCACATGCTTTTCTGCCAAAAGTAAGTGTAGGAGCTCAGTGAGCCCAAGTGGGTTGAGGACAGTGGCTGATGTTCACCCACCACTACTCTACTCCTGGTGGTGGCTGGAGGATGGGATCCACAGGGTGCCTCTGATGTTACATTGAAGGCACCATCATGGCCATTTGTCTGCTCCTCCACCAAATGGCACAACCCTGGAAAGCACAAGATTCCACCCAGAACCTCAAAGCAAATTTAAATCGCCACGATGAATTCTGCTGCTGTGGTTGCATCATTGTCTTCAGTTGTAGTAAGGATTTATAAGGTCATTTTTCTAAAGCTCTTCCACAGGGCTTGCTTTAGGTGGCTGGCAGCTGCTGTCCTGCTAGTTTGCAGAAGTTCAGGGCTATTTAGGACAGCCCATGTCAAATGCATTTGAGGAAATCAAATTGGGTACAAGGTGCAGATGTTTAACAGCCCAAGAAGTCCAGTAGATGTTCTACTGCTGTCAGTCTGAAGGAAATTCAATACCATGGAGTGCTTGGCTGTGCAACACCCCACCACCAACACTTTGTTTGTGTTGTTTGTTTGGGCTTTTTTTTTTTCTAATCTGAATCACTCAGACTTTCCCTCACACACTTCAGCTCTCCCTTTGCTTTAATTTCACTGCAGTCATGCATTACACCAGTGCCACAGCTCCATCTCTCTTCCCCTTAATCCAAACTAAAGGTTGAAATTTGCCTTTAAATGAGACAAATAATGATGGTTACAAGGGCCAGCAAACTGATGGAATGAGGGGGAAGCTGCACAGAGCCAGGACATGCCAGACAGGCATGTGCGGGTGTTGCATGAGGGGTGTGAAGCGATTTTGGGGCTTGGGGCTGAGCACAGCGGATTTACACCCGGGCTCCATGCGGCCTTTGCTCTTCGGTGGTGCTGGAAGTCGATGGGGCGCGGGGAAATATTTGCTCCCCAGCTGGCAGTGATATTTTAAAAAGCAGTGAGACGCATCGATGCAATTAGGTATTCCAAAGTGCTTAGTTTGCCACTTGCTAAGTTTACTTAAACCCTCCTTAAAGGGTTCATTAGAAGACCGCGAGGAACGGTAAAATTCATTAACACGGAGGCAGCCATTGCACATTTGCCTGTAAATTGGTATCGATCGGGCGCAGGTGAGGAGGCACCGTGCCCGCCCTGCTGAGCGAGCAGCCAGCGCCCGGCGTGACCTCCGCCGCGCTCCTGCCTAAATCCTGCCCATTGTAGCCTCCCATTCAGCCCGGGCGGCCAGCGCAGCCCTGCCACTCGGCCCACATTGTCCAGAGAGCTTTAAAGCTCAGCACGGCTGCGAGGGAGGCGAGGCAGAGGGGCAGAGGCAGGAGCAGGAGCAGGAGCGGAGCTGCGTGCGGGACCGAGCATCACCGGGCACTGCGCGGTGCCGGCCGGGGCGCGCATCCCACGGGGATGCGGGGAGAACTCGGCAAGGCTTGGCCCGAGCTCCCAGCACCTCGCTTTGGCTGCCTTTTATGTCTGCAGGTCTTCCCAAAGCCCCTTAGCAGGCGTGGAGCTCAACCGGATGAGTTATTAGAAGCGATTTTTAATTATTTTTTATGGTTAATGCCCTGAACGCGCCAAAAGGCATGTGCTATCTTTTGGGGGTTGCTTATCTGTGGGGGTAGTGTCTCGCTCCCAGGGACCAGCAGAGGAAAAATCATTGGATTCACTAGGTAAGATGCTTTCTTCTTCCTATGCTTTAATCTCTACTTACTGATAAAGCAATCGCGTGTCTGGGGCTGATGAGTTCTCTTACTCTGGCGAATGGAGCAGTCCTTCCCGGTGTGGTTTGTAAATCAGTAGCTTGCCATTCGATTCTTGGCTTTCTGAAAACAAATTGGCTTTTTGTTTCCAAATTGTAGGATGGAGGCAATTGGGAATTGATAGATATTTAACTTTCTCCCACATGGCTTTGTCTGGAATGAAACCTATGTGCGTGTACAGCAAAGGCTTTCCTCTAAACCACATTTTTGTCTTTTTTAAATGCTGGAAGTTTATGATTTAGAATGAAAAACCTACTTTTTAGGTGGACTGGGAGGCTGGCTTTTACTCTGTGCTGTATACGTTTCAAAGAGCCCCTGCTAGGGCAGCCACTGGACCTCTGCTGCTTTGTGTCCAGTGAATTATGCAGTTCCCCTTCCCAGGACCCAAAATCCATCATCTGCTGAGGGCTCAGCCCAGCATTACTGGCAAGGATAGGGAGCTGGGGTGTGTGTCTGTCTGCACATAGGCTGGGCAGGAGGAAAGTCTGCTGGTTTGAACTGAGCCGTAACTCACTCTCAGGATGTAAATTGTAAATCAGCGTTATTTTTCCTCCTGTGACCATATAAATGCGCATATTGAAACTACCTGCTTGAGAGACATACTTCTTTATATGCCCATATGAACCTGGCAAGCTATGGAATGTAAAGAAGTATGTATTTCAGGTGGGAATCCTTCTCAGAGGAGCAATGTGTGACCCCGGGCAAGGCGGGGGAGAAAGACAGACAGATTATTTTATATTATTATTTTTTTTAACTGCCTGACCCGGCAGACTGACTGGGGAGTCAATTGATGATCTTGTTCCAGCGCGTGTATTGTTCTGTCACTTTGCCTGTGTCAGCAGGTGGAAATGCTCATCAGGACATTAAATATTCAATATGCTGACTGCGGCATGGGCTTTGAAAGGCGATGCCAGAGGAAAGCTGGCTGTCCGCTCCTGGGTTTTAACAGGGATGCAGGCCAGTCGCTCCCTTCTCCTGCTTCTCCAGCGACCCTTTTTACCCCAAAAATAAGGCCGGATAGCAAACAAAGCTGGCTGATCTTTAAATCTAGGAACAACAAAAGGAGGTGGATGGTGGGGGGAGAAGAAGAGAGAGGAAAAGGAGACAACAGTTGTGACTTGGGTGTGTGGTGTTTTAGCTTTAAATTAGTGTGCAAATTCCGCTTTTTGAATCTTTCCCACATTAAAACTTTTTATGCTTAAAACTGGTGAGAAGGAGATCTTCCTTGTCAGTGTGGTGAGCCATCGAGTCAGTGGATCACAGCCAAAGCCAAAGGAGTACCCTGAATATAGGGGTCTTAAATACAAAAATTAGATCCTTTAATTCTGGAAGCCTTTTCCTTTGTAACATTTTCCAATGTAAAATAGTTGGCTGTTTTTTCAGGATCCTACAATAATGTGGCAAGATAAAAGAAATTTGGTTTAAAGACACATTTAATGTTCTGCCTAGGCGGGAGTCACATCTGAAGGTTTAAAGCTTTCAGCCCCAAATTTCCTCATGTTTCTGTAAAATTGCTATGATGTGAAAAGCTGAACTCCTCAAAAAACTGCTCCCCAGTTTTCCAAACTCCAGTTTCCATCTCTTTGGGGCCGCTGAGGGCAGCATTTTGGTTTTGAGTGATTTCCCTGCAATCACAACCCCATCTTCGCCTTGCTCACGGGCTCCTCAGGTGTGGTGCCAGGACTTGTCAGGCAGCGGTTAATCAAGTCTTTCCCATGGCAGCATCCTCCTCCAGGCATGGGAACAGTCGAGGCTCTGAGTTTGGATTTTGGGGAGTCTTTATCCGTCTATTCACAGTGAGTGCCGCCATCACTTCTTCCAGGTATGCCGAGAGGGATCAAACTCAAGCTGGTGCTTGTGAGTAGTGGGTGAGAAAAGGCAGGTTGGGCTGTTGGGGAGATTTCCTACCTGTAGGATTTGTGGGGTTTATCGAGGTGCTTTTTGTTGTTGTTGTTGATGTTTAAATTAAACACCACGGCTGATGGAGTTGTGGGCAGTGCCGACCCCCTTCCCAGCAGAGGAAGAGACTTTGCTTTTTCTGCCAAGTGGCTTTGGGAAGGCTTGGTTTGCACTGGAGGATGGCTGGTGTGGACATTATTCTGTTGGCTTTCTCAGATGCTCTGGTTGTGCTGGGCCCTGGAAAGCTGGGGTGTTCCTGGCTGGCTGCGGCACTGTCCCTCAGGACCCGGCTGCAGGGATGCAGCAACCCCTGGGCTCAGCCCCACCAGCAGCCACCCTGCCTGGGGACAATCCTTGGCCCCCATGACCCCACAAGCATTGGTCCTGTGGGTGTCCAGCCCCATTTTGGGGTCAGACCTAAATATGAAACTGGTGGATGCTGGGAAATGAGCTGAACCCAGGCAGGAAGGCACTGGTTTCACGTAGGACTGTAATTCTGCTCTTTTGTAAATCAGCAATGTTAACTTGAGTCTCTGGATGAAAAATGAGGACAATTCTCACCATTCTGCATATAACATAACATTGTATCTAATATATAATTTATATATGAAATTACCCTCCTTTCTTTGCTGACCCTTTGTCCGACTCCTTCTAATTTCCCTTCTCCTTCCTTTTTTCATTTTTCTTTTTTTTCTTTTTTCCTTTTTTTCCTTTTTTCTTTTTTCTATTTTCTTTTTCTGTTTTTTTTTTCTTCCCCCCTCTCTGTTTTCTTCCCCTTCTCAGCACAGGTTATACTAAAACCCGTGTGCCACTGCATGTTGCTCTTTCAAAGGTGTTCGTGGTTTGATTTACAGCAGATACCTGCATTTGTAATGCAATTTTTATCTCCTTCCCCCCGCCTCTCTGAATTAATACGCTTGTTAATCACATGGAATTGCTAACTTTAGGAAGTCGCTAAGTGCTCGGATTTATTTTTTATGTAAATATTTTCAAAGGTATAATTCTGAGCGCTGTCTCGCAGCATGGCAGCGGAGATGGCGGGGGAAGCTTTGCCATGGATGGTGTCACCTGGGCTTGGACAATGTTAAAAATGAAGCGGGTTGGATGTGGCCCCCCAGGAGCCATGGTAGCCTTGCTGTTGACACCAATGGAAGGAGCCGATGGCTGCAGGCCTTCACCAACCGCTTTGCGCCATCCTTCTTCTCCATGGCAGCTCTTCATCCCTTTTACACCGCTTTGGATTAAAACTGCGGCCGTTACGTTGCACTGAGCCCGCTGTATTTTACAGCTAAATTAAAGCCACTTCTCTTAGGCTTTCTATAAATTGGTGAGCATCTCCTGGCCTTGAGAGCCGTGGCGGGTGTGATATGAGGAGCACTCGCGCTGTACCTGCAGCGCTGGGATGCTCAGGTGCGCCCATCCGTCCTGCGAGCCGAGTACTGTGCAGTGCCAGGCGCAGAAACAGGAGCTCTGAGAATTGTAAAAGCCATAAATCCAGTGGACCAAATTAGTTAAATTTTTCTATTCTATGCCTCACAAAATCCAGCCGTTCTGGAGATGAATTCCCCGCATGTAAGCGGAACTACCGGCAGGTATAAGATGGATATTTCGCACGTGCACATGAGAGCACAGGGACAAATTTGTGCCATGCGGTTTTCCCTGGCGGGTTTTTCTTTTTTCTGTACTTCTGCGTGTTTGTTACATTGATGATCCATTATTACAGTTGTTACTATTACTTAATGTTGGAAGACAGGTGGTCCCATAAATTCTAGTACTCTCTATTTTTATTTATTTTTTTTTTTAAAAGGGGGGGCATGTTTGCAATTCAAGTTTAATAGTGCATTCATCAAGAGCAATAAAGCATTTTATTGCACAAGTATTTCAAGGGATGTGCCGGCCCTGGTAAAAGCATTAGTAAAGGGGTGCATCAGCAATCTCATTTAAAACTGTCGACCCAACGTGAAAAATGTTGCGTTGAAGAATAAACTGCTATTAAGCATGATTAGATTGACCTGCAGGACAGATATTTTAGCTGCAGCAGCACAAGTCGATCAAAGTGAGCATCGCTTAGATTGCAAATTTTTTTTTTTAATGCCCTAAATTAAAAATGAAAGAGCCTCAGAATATTTAGGACCAGAGTGTGACTTTGGGGGTGAGATTTGTGCATTCAGTTTGAAGCAGTTTGGGAAAGTGGGGAAAGGGGGAAGAGGTATTAATTGCTGCCCCTTTAGCATACATTGAAAATATGTTACTCAGATCAACCAATCAAAAAAGAAATTGTGCTGACTCAGCACTCGGGCTAGTCTGCACGTCCGATTGCAGAAGAGATCAGCACTGCACTGCAGTATCTTTCCCTGCCTTTGACACCAGCCTAGCTGGGCAGGGCTTCCCTTGTGTTTCCCAGGACTGGTTTAGGCCAAGAACAAGAGAAGGCCCTGAAAAGAGGAGGAGAGAGTCAAGGTTGCACGAGCCTCGAGCTGCTAACAATCCTTTTTAGTCAGTAAGAAGGAGCTTCCATGCTAGGTTTGCCCTGCCAGATGCAAGCGGCATGAATTGCTTGGGAATATATCTATTTTTAAAGACTTTCACCACATCTTGCACTTAGCAGTGACTGTGGGCGAGGGGGTGGTGTGTTCCTAGCAAGAGAAATATCCTCGCTCCTCAGCTCTGATGCCTCCCCGAAAGCCCAGGGCTGATTTCAGTGCCGCACTGGCGGGTGCCTCCCAGAGAAGATGCTGGGTTAAATGTTTGCTGTGTGATGCTGAAGCTGCTCTTGACCTCAGCCAAGCGGACAGCAATGCTGAGAGCTGCCTTTCCACTGGGATGTGGGGGGTCACGCTGAGAGCAGCCCAGCGCTCCAAGGATGGGAGCCAACAGAGAACATGGACTCCACTGCTGGCTTGTTGGGGTTGCAAACAAGTTGTGTAGCTTGCTTGCCTCAGTTTCCCTCTGAGGCAAAGTAGGTTTTTGCTGAGGAGTTGTTGAAGCTGTGTTTGCACTGTGAGGCTGAAGGTGGAAGTGGCCAAGGTGGATGGAGGCAATGACATGAGGCCAAGATTGTCCTGGTTTGGTTGGCATTGGCTTGCCCAGTTCTACCCGGTGTGTATTTGGGGAGACGTCACAGCCTGCCTGGACTGTGCCCCTCTGCCCTCGTGCTGTCATGCAAACACTCATCTGCATTCCCCAACCTTGGAACAGGTGTAACGTGTGAGGAATGGAGGCTGGACCTCCATGTGCCCATGGAGCCATGGATGCCTGGGGGGTATCCCAGCAGGATGAGGGGTGATGGGGTCTGTGGGGGTGCTCCAGCACTGCGGGCCTGCTTGCTGGTCACCAGTGTGGCCATGATCCTGTGTGCTGGGTGACTCTGCCAGCACTGGGCAGGTTAGGCTATGCCAGGCTTAACCAGCTGTGCATGCCCAGCTCTGAACACCTTGGTGGGCACCTACAGGTGGAACAGTGTCCCTGTGGGCTGCTCTCTCCTGACCACTGCAGCACCCCGTGATGCTGTTGAGGTGTTTTTGCTTGCACTGTGTAAGCAGCACCAGCGAGCATCCCTGGGTTAGTCTGTATTTTTCCAGAGCAGTCTGTACGGAGCAGCAGCGCTGGTGGATGACCGCCTTGTGTGCAAGGGGAAGGCTTTCAGACACAGATATGTCTTGACTAAAGCAGGATTTGATAGTCAAAGGTTTTAGCAGTTGGAACAGTTGCTGGTGGTGCTCAGGAGGCTCAAGGGAAGCAGGTGACTGACATCTCCAGCAGATGCAGGGTTTTCCTTTTTTTTTTTTTTTTCTTTTCCTTTTTTTTTTTTCTCCTGAAGCACAGAGCCGTGCCTGCAAATGCCTTGCCATGCCCAGATATGGCCTGTGCTGGGACCACTGCCTCTATCTAAAAAAGCCCTGGGCAGACTGATGAGCCTGGGGGAACTGGGGAACAACTGCTATAAATAGTGCTCATTCTCAGCTGCCCTTCTGGGGGGACAGGATTAGGTGGCATCTGGGCAGCCAGGAGGCGTGGGACTCGTGACCACCAACCGCAGAAGTCACCCAGCAGCTGTAAGGATAGGAGCCATCCCTGCAAAGACCTTACATAGGCAAGTCAACCCTGGCATTTGGGGAGTCGGATAAAGCCACAGGGGCAGGAATCCAGTGACCTAAGAGCAATTGAGAATAAAGTTCACCACAACGGCCGGGACAGCGCTTCCAATCTGAGCTGTGACCTGGCATGGGAGACAGGACTTGGCTTTTGGCTTTTCAAGCAGCTTGGTGCAAGCAAAGGAAGGTGTCAGGAGGGAGATGGTGACATGGGAAGCAAAGTGTCACAAGGAGCTGCTGAGATGAAAAGACTGGTGTTCCCATCTGGGAGGCTGCGGGTTAATTTGCTTGTTAATTTCCTGGCAGCGAGACTATTGGAAGCTCTGATTTAATATTTGTGTTTACTTTGGGTAAACAAATTAACAAAAAAAACCCCAAGTCTTAATAATTTAAGACACCGACTTGATTGAAGCTAGCAGAAAGTAATGAATCTCATGAGGTCATTTCACTCCCACCCTGAGAGGAGATGGGCACTGCCTGGAGCTCATGGCCATGGGGCTGTAGGGTAACTGATCCCTAAAAGTGAGGGGTGCTTGTAGCTAAGGACTGCAAGAAAGTGAAACAGCTTCTGAAAGAGCAGAGGAAAAGGACTGTATTGTGCTTTAATTAAGCTCAACCTTGAGTATTTGAAGGGAAATGATGGAGCAGGGAGTGAGGAAGGTTTGGCCAAAGAGAGGAGGTGGCTGTGCAGGTGATAAATGAAAGGGATGTACTGAAATGTGTGCAGTGGGAGATTGGGGAAAAATCATGGAGCAACGCTGCAGCTTGTTCCTGATTGGGATGGAGACTTGAATGTGCAGGCAGGTTGAGATGGGTATTTATGTCCAGGCTTTGCCCCTTCTGTCTCTCACGGTATCAGGACTGTGCTGCACCACTTTGCCTTCTTTAAATTAAGCCAGCTTTGTCCTAAAGCCTTGTCTTTGAGACAATAAGATGCACCCGCTAAAATCTATTGTGCCATTTTTGCAAAGCCCAGCAAAAGTCGCCCGTGCACCGTCCCCTCCCTGTCCTCCACGCTCATTTAGCCTATTTGAAACTGAATTTATTCCTGGGAAGGTCCCCATCAATTTGCCTTGCTCTTTTGTTGACAAGTTTATTAAAAACCTGGGCAACTACATATTAAACTTTTATCAGTGTCGAGGAAGAATACGTCCTTTGAGCAGCCACAAAAGTTATGGATTGGGGCTTAATGTTTCTTGTTCCACCATTTGGCTGAGTCAGCGTAACAAATAAAAGCTGCCACTTCTTTTTTTTTTCCCTTTCTTGAGAGACAGTTCCCTTAACAGTGTAAGTAACTGTGTCCAGCAATGCAAAAAAGGTTTCAGGTCTGGGTAAACATGAGGGTTTTTGTTTCTCTTTGTACCCATAATTCTTGAATAATTTTAATAACTAATATAAGAAAATATGAACCCTGGAGAAAGTTATTGCTGCTTAGCTCCGAGCCAATAGTTTTGGTAAAATAACTATTACTTTATAGTGTTTACATCAAAAAATTTGCTGCAAATTAATAATTGTACTGCAAGTGATGTGTTTTCATCCAGTGTGAGGGCAGGAAGGGGTTGGAGCGATGTTTGGTTGGGGATGTCCCTTTGCACCGCTGCAATAGGGGATCTTCGCTCTTTTTCTTTAGTCATAAGATGAAACAAAGAGGAGGGCAATATGTTGCACCAAAGATGTTAAAAATAAAGCGTTAGAATTGCATAACCTAGTTCCCATTCTGCCGTGCAGCTGAGTTTTTAGGAGTTGAAAGAAGCCTGAGAAATAATTGGTGGGAAGGAGTTTAAATTGATATAACAACAGTCAGGCAGGGGGAAAAAAGTGAGCATTGGTGGGACTAAGCCACAATTCTTAAACTCTGCTGGGCAAATAAATAAATAACACAGCATCTTTCTCTGCCTGTCACCATGTCCAAGGATTTTTTAGTTCTTAAACAGGTCTGCTGGCATAATTTGTCAAGTCCAACAGGGAGGTTTCCGTGTGACAGCCGATTGTTTTTCACCAGGCACAGTGGTGCACCAGAGCCATCCTGCCGGCTCGGAGCAGCTCCATAATTAGACAAGAGTTAACATTCCTGTATGAGGTGGCTCATCCCTCCTGCCCAGGGCACGGCACAGCCGCCAGGGCCCATCCTGCGCCGTGCCCGCGGCTGGCGGGGAGCGTTCCGGACAAATCCCTCTGCCTCCAGGAGTTTATCTGCATCACCATTTGCTCCAATTATAACTAATTGGACAAATACTGCATTTTCATAGAATCTAATTTTCTATTGATTTTAACGGGACTGCTGGTGTTTTGTACTATTAAGTGGTAATCTCGTATCAGTTGCTGTTTAAAAACGCTGAGTGCACTCCCCTGTATGGGATTATGCAGTCAGCACATGTTTTAAAACCTGTTTAATTGTTAGGTCCGTAAAATGCACAAACTGTATTAGGGAGCGGCTTTGTTCTCTTTTGAGAGTGTGAGTAGCACAACAAAAAAATCCAACTCCACAACTATTTCCACAGCCGGTTTCAGGAGGTGCAGCTCCCAGAGACCTGCTCAGAGTCTTGTGCTTTGGGAAAAGAGCTTTGGAGGGACCCTCTTGATCCCACATGGAGCCAGCTCCCTCCAGGTAACAATGGAACAGAGCAGGTCCGTGCTTGACTGTTGTTTTTACAGGAGGCCTAGGACCAAAATTCGGGGTAAGACAGAGAGAAGGTCACTTTAGATGCTTTGTATAACAAAGGAATAAGGTGATAACTGTAGGGTTTGGAACTTTATTCTCTGTCATAGATATTGCCGTGTACCTTGGCGATACACCCAAATAAAACCAGACTATCAAATTAGCCATTTCATTTCAGCAAGTACCCCTTGAGGCAGGGTGAAAGCAACAGTCCTCTGGTCAGCACCACTTAAAGAAGAGAAGATTTAAAGCAAAGATTTAGGGGAGGAAGGGAGAGGTGGCCTGGCAAAGAGCATTTCCAGCAATGCACGGGGATCGCTGGCTCCGGGATATTGGATAACAACAATAATGGTGGAGAAAGCAGATTAAAGGGGATGGAAATGATGTTTTGGGGCAGTTGAGTCACCCTGGGGTGCTGGTGAGTTTCCTGTCAAGTTGCTGCCTTCACTGCTCATTAGCAAGAGCCATGTTGTGTTTGTTGGAGACAGGTGAGTTCATGAGGGTGTATAAATTAAATAGACACTTTATTAAGTTCAGGTAATAGTTTTGGTTTGAAAGACTGAGTGGCTACTGCAATGTCAGCAACTGCCTTACTGCACAAAGGAACCGAATGCTTTTTAATTAAGTCAAATAAAATCCAAGCAGAAGGCTCTTGAGCCTTGTCTGGAGTCTACTTTTTGGGTTGAACATCTTTAATTTTAGAAATGTTAATAAAACACAGTCTACTTTTTCCCTGTAATAATGTAAGTTCAATTAATATTTTATGTCTGTAAGGAAAAGGATAAAAGCAGCGAGCTTGTATTTTCTGGTTTACAAATGGCACATTGGGCAGAATCCTGCAACTGTGGCATTGATTTAAACATCCTCACAAAGACACCATGCAATAAAGTTGAACCATCTGCAGTATAAGTATGTCTGTTTGGGGGAAAAAAATAGCAATGTGAGAGAGTAGACATTTTCCTGTATTATCAAAAGCCACTTCATTTTGAGGAAATTTCCTCCAATTTAGTAATGTTTGGATGGAAATCAAATAACACATTAACTTTGGGAAAGGGAAAAAAAAACCTTCCAAAGCTAATTACAAAGGGAATGTGCACTTCATTAAGATAAAGCTGTAGGAAATCAATGTTCTGTATTGTTGTTTTTTTCCTTTTGATTGGATTTTAGAATGATAAATTGTTCATGCATTTGATCTAAAAATGATTTGTTTATTCAGATGAAGAGCAACAGTACTTTGTCTCATTTGGCCTTTTAGCTTACAATGATAATGGCTTGGAGGGGCTACTCATTTCTCAAAAGTGTATTGGACTGGAATAGGCAGGAGATTTCTGGACTCAGAAGGATGGGCCCCATGCAAGGGTTTGTTGTAGGCTAATTCTATTGCATGTTGAATCTTCTGCTTCATTAAGAATATCGACAAATGCTGATAAATTCTTTGGCTTTCCTGTACTGTCTATAACACATCTTTATTAGAATATTGAGGCTGAAGTGGAAAGATCTGCGATAGAGGAGATTCTCGTGTTGGGTACTACTGACCCTACTTGCCACAGCACTGGGGGCTTTTGCCCATTTTCCTGGATATAATCATGGACAGCAGAGCCAGCAGCCAGGCACAGGCACCACACAAGGGTCACCAGAGCAGGAAAAGCCAGGCATGTGTTTGTTCTGCTATTTTGGCCTTGCTTCACCTCTAACCCCTGGCTCTCACTCCACATGCCCATGGCTCTCCAGTGCCATCCCACAGCTCCTGTAGGCTTTGCCAGGTCAGGGTGGCAAGGCCAGGAGCAGGGGGGCACCAGCTCCTCCCACACCTTTCCAATGCAAGACCCAACTTCATGAGGAGATGATTAGACCTGACTTGGCTTTGGGCACAAACCTGACCGTGCTGGTGTGGGGTGGTCGAGGTTTTGGGCCTGGTTTGGGGTGCTGTTGCAGGCTGCACTTGCAACATTGGCACAGGCAGGAAGGGAGAGCAGCACCAATCCCTGCCTGGCTGTTAGGATTGGCAAACTCTGCTGTCAGTTCTTGCCTGTTGAATCCCTCCTATTTCATAGTGGAGGGCGCCCACAGGCATTTAGAAAAGAGCCCTGCCTCACTAGAGAGATCAGGGGCTTCAGACAGCTCAGATCTCTGACCACATCTGTAATCCACCTTGTTAGGGTGGCTGGTACAGCCCCAGAGACCAGCCTGGCATGCCTGGGCTGGCAGAGACCTGGGCACTCCCAGCTGGGAGGCTGCAAGTCCCTGTGGGTTGCAGCCCTCCCCAGCTTTATAACGTGGGCTGCTCTTTCTCAGCTGCTGGGAAAGCCTCACCACCAGAGAGACATCATTAGTTTTGATTAATGGCATCCAGAAGAGAAAACCTAATTTTCTAAAAAGGAAAACCTTACCCATAATTCACTGCAGAGAATTTAAACAAAATGTTATAGAACATCCACGCTGATTCACATTGATTTCAAATACGTTCCAAGGCACTCCCCAAAGCAAAGAAGGGAGGAGTGGGGACTGCTCTGGTCCCCAGCAGAAGATGCTCGGTGTAACCCCACAGTGCTGCTTTCAAAGGACTGATCTCAAATCAACAGGGCTGGGACAGTGCACACATACCTGTGTGCAGGCTGTGTTTGAGGTGGTGATGCTCAGGCAGTTTGATGCACTCTATCCCAAAATCCATGTGCCCATCAGGACTTAGCTCTGTACAGCCTTGCTCGCTAATGGCATTTCCACCTGTACCCAATCACCAGTAAATAATTACTTTCCTTTGCTTCCTGTAAGTTACCAAAGGATGAATTTAATACTTCCAGGTCTGCACTGTCTAAGTTTCCATTTAGTTCCTTGGCTTGATTGTCTCTTGTAAAGGTACCTACAGATAACTTGATTAAATTAATTGTAGAGCTCTTTTTTAAAAGCTATTCTGTCTCCCTTTTTCTCTCCATCTCTCTCTCCATTTATTTATAGGCAGCTTAGAGTAACGGGTTTGGGCAGTTAAGTGATCTGCAGTGCTTACCGTGACAATGTGAAGCCTGGAGTTCTTCGGGAGATAAAATGCTGGCCCACTTGCAATTTTCCTGCGTGCAGAGGTTCCAAGCACAGGTGCTTTTCCCTGGGATCATCTTGCAGCATGGTGGGCTGCGAGGGAGAGGGGGGGAAAAGTCACCTTTGCCTTCTGACGCATATAAATTCTTTAAATAGGTTATGCACATGGCAATGTGCAATATCTGCGCGTGGCTCCGGGTTAAGAAGGAAAGGCCTGACTTTATTGGCTCCCACTGCAGAAATGATCGGAGCTGCTGTGATTTTAAAATTTGATTTACTGGGTTATTTTTAGCAGTGGGGTGTTCATGCTGCAGGGCTCTCCAGGAGAATTCAACACCCCAGTGTTGAGATGTGAACCATCACAGGAGTGACTTGGACAGCAGTGGTGTAGCAGGGACTTGCTTTCCCCATTTGGGGACAAATTGCCAGATTATGAGATTGCAAGAAAGTAAAGCTTTTTTTTTTTTTTTTTTTTTTTCTTTCATTCCTCCCTTTTGTTTCCTTTCCACCACTTTCCTGTTGGTTTCTGGTGAGCAAATACAACCATTGCTTGAGCAGGCCTCAAACCTCCTGAAAATGCTGATTTTAATGCCAGATGAGAAAACACAGGAGGCTTCACAGTAGGGAAGCAAAGTTTGCTAACCTCTAAAAAAAGATTTCAGGTGTTCCAGTCTTTTCCCTCCCATTTTTCAAGGAGAGCCCTGAGGGGAGAAGAGTTCTGCAGCCTGAGTTCCTTGGCTGTGGGCTGGGCTGGTTGTAGCAGGCGACATCTGTGCTGCTGCGTGTTAGGTGTCACTTCAGACACCAAAACACGGGGATGGAGGAGGACAGCACACCATAAAACAGTGAAAGGAAAGGGGGAAGGAGGTGATAATTAAAGCATCTGGATGAAAACAGTAGCTTAACATTTACTTATGTCACACTGTAATAGAACGTGGCTCTCAAAACAGAGCCAACTATCAAGTTTAAAAACGCTTCAGGCTGATGGTTACTGCTGCAGACTATTCCACTGCTGTTCAACCTGCCTCTTTAATTCAGACTTGCTCTTCAGCTGTAGCCTCTAAGAAGCTTAAATAAATCCTGACTGCCTGAAAGTGAAGCCATTTGAACCAGTGCGGCATCAGGCAGCAAGTTCAGAAGAGGTCCAGGCAGCTGGGAAAGAAAAGACCCTGAGGAATTCTCTTCTCTGCTGCCACAGCCCATGAGGCCAAATGCTTTGCTAAAGCTGGTAAAATGGAACCAAATCAACTGTTCAATGGATTTGGTCCCCTTCAACCAGCTGTAGCTGTGCATTGATCTCTCAGACGCACCTTGGAGGATGAAACACTTGAACCCGACCAGGGCGGCTCAGGTAGAAGACAAATGGCCATTTGAACACTGCTGATAAGGAAATGATGATGATTGGCATCTACAGATCTATCACTCAGGCTCTAAACTGGTGGGCTGAGCCTGAGTCATTATGTGGTTGCCAGTCAATTCTGCCTAAGGGAGACCACTCAGGATTGATAATCTCTATCAGCCCCTCCATTGATCTCAGCTGTAACCCAGTGTGTTCCCACTGCAAATGCTGTGCATTTTCATATGTGTTTGCTCATACCCACCCAGGAGCCCCATGCCTCAGTGTTTCATCTGCTGCAAGGAAGAATAAAGGCTTTGATCTGAAGTTCCCTCCTTGTGTTTTGTACCATGCGCCGAGATGCTCCTTCCACAGCTCTAGTGAAGAAATCAGCTACAGGGCTACCAGAGCTGGGAAGGAGTTGGGAAAACCAACTGCTTCCTCACTGCCCCAAACTGCAAATATCCACCGTCTGCACTAGCCAACAATGTTTTTTTTTGTTAATGAGATATAAGCTGTGCTCCTAAAAAAAAAGTCAAAGTTCCCTTTTTGACTTTGTTGACCTAAAAGACTTGTAAAGTCTCTACCCCAGTCTGGTCCTTATAAGCACTAATGTTATGCTAATGGAGTTAAAGAAAATCGCTGGCTTTCCCGTGTAATAATGATTGGTGGGAAAGTAAGCTGGGCGTCATCCTTTCCTAGCCATCGTAAATCTATAGGACTCTCACGAGCTATGAATATTGCAGCTTTAATGAGCCATTTGGATGCAAAAGTCTGATGGGAGATTATTCATGTCTTTACTTCTTAACAACACCTGGCCCAAGTTAACCCCTGGCATAAGAGTGTGCAGAGATTTGTCTGTTTCACACACTAGAAATTAGGTTTACTTCATTTCACATCCGTGGTCCTTTAGCTACCATTTAAGTGCTCTTACTAGGGCCAAGAGTATTCATGTGCTTCAAGATAAGGAGTCGTTTGATGGATCTGAGGCTTAACATGCATCTAATATTTATGTCACTGGGTATTTAAAAGGCAAAGACATGAGGAGCAGTGTTACTGCAGGACTGCCTTTCCTCAGCTAAAAGGAAAATACTGCTTACTTGATCCTGCTGCCTCATTTTTCTGCACTTTAACAGTGCCTAAGCATCCATGTCGATATCCTACTGAAGTCTACATGTGTTTTTTTTCCCATATACTTCAATCAGATCAGGTACATTTTACTTCTTGCCACCAACAGATTTCTTAGGAACATGTAAAAGAAATTACAGGTTCTATTTTTAAAATTTATTTATCTTCACAACTGCAGCATCTTTCTAAGCACCCAATGATGCACCCAAAAGAGTGCATCTGACAGAAGATTGCAGTGAGTGTAAAATGCATTTGTTGATGTTTTTGCCTGCAAATAGAGGAAAAGGAGCAGCTCCAACAAATGCCTGTATTAGCATGGAGGCCGTGGGTAGTGGGGGTGCTCATTGCTTTCCAGTTGAAGCCTCACAGCACAGCTCTGCCCTTGGCAAAACAAGCCAAGTGGCCACCACCTCTGTAACTCTGAGTGACCTCTGGACACGCTATCTGTCGTGGATGACTAATTGCTTTGTAATTATCCATGCTGGTTTCTGTGCACTACTCAATCCCAATTCCTAATTCCCATCTCAGAAGGATCAAGCAAAGGCATCTGCTGAGGCACAAATGACTGTCCAGGCAAACCACCTCAATGCTGCCACTGCCAGTCCTGAGATTCCTGAACATCCTTGGGATGAAAGCACAAGGGAAGGGAAATCCTCAGCACAATTCCCTGATTGCTGGCAGTCTGGGCTGTGAATGATGTTGGGACTCTAGAGGAAAAGGTTGAGTAGAAACAGATGCTTCCAGCAGGTTGTGGCCTGGGTTTCCAAAATACCATGCTCCTTCCGCCTGCTCCCACAATCTGGGTTATTTTCTCTTGTTCCCCAGAGCTGCATCCAATTTAAACAACACCATTATTAACATTCTTCCTTGGTAATGATAATTAAGTTACTAAAAAATGTCAAATGGGGAAGCTGGAGGCATTGCAACTTGAACAAAAACAGGGAATGTAAATGAAATATATTTTCCTTAAAGAAGTTTGGTACTCCCAAAGTCACCTTGAATAGCAGGGAAGCTTCCAGTTCTCTGGAAGCAAGAGAAGATATGAATTCACAGGGATCCTAAAAGTTGAGCCATGCATTTAGATGCCTAAATGTGGATCCCACCTTCAGGCACCCATGCTTGAAGATTTCTGGCTGTGTTTTTGTTGGCTAATTATGTCTTTATGGAATGAGAAATTCAGTTCACTTAGCATGAAATTTCTATACCAATACAGCCATTATGGTCTAGGAAATATGAGGCCCAAGAAGAAGGCAGCAGGTAGACTTCAGGGGAACTCTCTAGGGACTGATAATGTGTAGGAACGAATGTAAGGCATGGGCCAAAACATTGTAAATGTCCTTCCCAACAATTTGTGTTTCAGCCTTACTCACTCCCAAATCCTTCCTGAGGCAACAGCCGGGTTTGGAGCTCGCTGATATCTGCCCTTTGCAGCCGGGAGCTGCCTGGACCCTGAACCCATCCATGGTCTGAAAACTGGATCTGCCTCAGTCGATTTCCCATAAAGCGCAGCTCTGAGTGGAAGTCTTACCACTGACTTAGAAAATCCCAGGCTCAGGTCCTGGCTAAGTCATTAGAAAGTTTTAGCCAACCATTCTTAACTACATCAAATCTAATTGTTTCCCATATCCACTAAGAGGCTGCTCTGATGGCTCACCAGACACTGCTGGTTTCCTGGAAACCCTATTAGCTTCTCAAACAAGGCAATCCTGAGGACTCAGTCCTGCAAACCTTTTGTGCAAATATTAAATAACAGCGAATAATTAGCAAGAATAATCCTTTTTGCTTGACCCTCTTCTGTAATAAAGACCTTTGTCGGCGAATGCAAACTTTATTTTGAGGAGCAATTCATAATCTAGAGCTGCTGAACACATCAGCCTAAATACACTAATACTCTAATATCCATATTTGTACAGGACTTAAGACAGACAAAAACAGGCACGCTCTCTGCCCCAAAGACCTGAGAGCATTCACCAGTCAAGCACAGGAAAAAGAGGTGGCAAAAGAGGTGGCAAAGAAAGGACCCACTTCTGCCTTTGATCTTCAAGTGGCTCAGGTGGTGTGATCAGATCAGCTGGATTCTGTACATGGAGTTTTTTTTCTGTGCATCCTTTTCCTTCACCTGTTTTTCTTTTTCTTTTGGTTTTTTTTGTTTTGTTTTGTTTTTCTGAGAGGGGAGAAAATAAAGGACAAGCAAGCCAACAGGCAGATAATTGTTCTGTGCTGACAGTTTGTCAAGTGATGGAAGCACAATTTTAGTCAGGAGATCTGCGTTACAACGGCGAGTGAGCAGAAGTCTCTTCTTTTCCTCCCAGATGGCATTGACATATAGCCTGAAGGGGCAATCAGGATACAAAGCTAAAGATGGTTAAAGACATTAAAAACTGTACAATGTGAGCACCATCCACACCAGGACCATCATCCAGGAGGAAGATTCATCCTGACATATCAGGCAGAAGTCAGATCTTCTACTGGTGTTATATAAAGCTGTTGAGCCAAAGGTATTTTTGAGATAGACAAAAAATATATATTCCTGCTACTAACCATGTCTTTTCCAGTAGATCTTTATTGACTCTTGAAAAGCAGTTGACCAATAAATGTAATGATCTGCCTTCCCTTTTCTTTCTGTGTGAACAATATCTTCTGCAGGGTGTTCATCACTGTGGGCAATAAGTGGCTTGAGCCATTCCTGACTAACACCACTTCCCAGCAAGACATTGAATGCACTCTCTTCATCACACTGTTTTCCAGATGCTGCCAGGGCTTTTGCTAATGATAAATATTGCACTCAGGATAAGATTATAAATCTTGCTAAAGGATGGAGGGAATTTGAATTCTGCATTCCTTGGATTTGATATTGTGCAAGTTGTTTAATTAACTTGAACAAAGAATGGGCTTAATAGCATTGCATTTTTTAATAAGCAAGCAGTGCAGCTGGAGGGATAGAGAACCACGAAGAGAGGAGTTCACCTGCAGGAAAATACCCTCTACTTCCCCCAAAAGCGATAAAAATGTCAATACATTGACACAACCCCTAATTAAAAATGACTGCCATAATCACGCGTATCATAGCCGTAGGACATTAGTTTGGATTAAACACAAACAGCAGGATGTGCTGCACACGTTTTCCAAAGGAAGAAAGGGTTGGATGGTGGGATCTCCTGCCCACCCAAGGAGAGCACAGGAAGGATCCCTCAGGTGAAGGCTGCTCCTTCACTGCCCTTCCTGCTGAGCTGAGCAACCTGGGCTGTTTGCAGCCAGAAGATGAACCGTGCCCACGTGCCCTTTTTTGGCTGAGGTTGGAGCAGACGTCCTTCCCTTGGTGGCTGACGTGGCCAGACAGCGGGTGCGTGGCCTGGCAGAGCAGCCCCACGGCTTCATGCATCCCCTCAGCTCCTGCAGCCGTGCTCAGCTCTAGCAGCACCCAGCCTGCCTGTGGATACGTCCTCCTTTCCCTCACAAGGAATAAAATCCCCCATTTTGGAGCATTCAACAAGTAAAAGGACAATAGAAAATAGCTTGTCAGTGCTCCATGTCAATTATGTTATGCAATTGGCCTGCCTGGATTGGATATGGATTTAATGGTTGGACTTGATGATCTTAGGGGTCTTTTCCAACCTGAATGATTCCAAGAGAGACTCCCTGTTTTAATGTTCAACTGCTCTTGCCTTATGCTTGTGATACTGATGTGCACCCAGGGATCTGAGCTGGCTCTAAGCACTTGTCTCTTATTCTACTACACCAAAAATAAACACTGAGATGCTTCATGTAGCCCTGGGGCTGAAAGGTGGGATTGCACCACAGAGCTGGGGCTGAGGAGAAGCAGCATCTGCTACAGGAGGGATACACGAGGCTGAGTAACTGAGTGAAGGGGCAGAGCATGGCCAACCTTTCTCTTGAAGAAACTCAGCAGCAACGGCTTCTTTTCCAATTCCACATGGGAAAATTCACATCTTTTAGTATCTCTGATAAAATCTGCCTCCAGCTCTTTCTGCCCTCCAATCCTATAAATCATTTCATGCAATACCCGACAGATGATTTCTTCTTTCTCCTGCATAGAGGGACAGGAGTGGGGAAAGAATGAGAGAGGGAGAGATTTGGACCTGTTTCCCAAATATTCCAGTGTCCAGCCATGAGCTGATATCCTGGCAGGAGTAAGAGGCGGCCCTGTGCAGTGCTCACTCAGGAATCAATAATGAATG